GATGTGTTAGCACTCACCATTCGTACAAATGTGAGTAGCTTGCTTCTCATCTCAAAGCCTTTGATGTCCAGTTCTTTTACGTGCACCAAGTCACCCTGAGGAGAAGCATTTTTGTTATCATGCAGGTGTTTTTACGCCCCCCCCCCCCCCAATTGACACGTTTTAGATCATTTATTTAGAAGGCGGGGTTTGACTTTACCTATCAGAACTGGAAGAGTGAGTTACTCGAGAAAAAATTTCCCAACTCTGTAATCGAACCCGGACATTCTACATGCGTCAGAGAAGCACAAAATCGCTCGCCACATCACAGATGCCGGTACCGTGAGAGGGGGTGAGGGTGGGGTTGGGAGGGCACACATTTTGTAAGAAAAGCTGCCAACTGGTCGAGTATACCCTAACTGCATAGTCAGATCGCATAGTTATAGATAGCTTTCGTATAGCACAAATACTCTCTCAACAGCAAGCTCTATACGCTTTAGAATCTATATCATTTCCCCAGCAGACCTTAAAACATTTTGATGGAAGCTCAACTTCCCGGGAAGCATACAGTGCAAGCACCCATTTATAGGCACTAAAACACTTTCATACTGATAAGATCTTCTGCTAACTACGCCAGGTACCCCTGGGTGAAGTGAAGACAATTCGTGTAAAGTGCCTTTCCAAAGGGCACAACCTCGGACCTGAGGCTCGAACCCGGAACACGCAACCTCATGATTACGAGTCCAGTAGAGTAACCGATGACTTCTCCACTGTCGGATATGGTTCGATTGGGAAACGCTTCTGATCTGTACGCACAGTACCAAATAGAGCTCTGCTTTGTTTCATCAATTTTTAATAGGAAGTCCACATTACCAGAAATTTCTTGAGATCTGGTTCCGAGGTTGATTTGTGATAACCTCCTTTTTTTTTACGGTTACTAGTTGCTCTCGTCTATTTTGTCGTAATATTTAACCCACTCCATACTTTGATATTTCCGGTCCAATTGTGTATTATAGAATCCAGGCGCAAACAAATCGACCTCTTTTGTAAGAATCTGCAATACATCATTTTGAAAAGTGACGTATCATGGAATCTTATACTGAGCAGTCGAAAATAATTATCTTATTTTGCAATGTCATGTGACATGTCTTATGCTTTGATTGTTTTGTGGGTTTTTTTTGGCTATGGTTTTCATTGTCATCAACTAAGGAAAGTGACTGCTGTCAGCGATGCGAGTTATACTTGTTTTTCCCCCTCTCTCTTTTTCACTCTCTGTTTTTCTTTCTTTCTCTCTCTGCCTTTCCCTTCTCTCTCTCTCTCTCTCTCTCTCTCTCTCTGTCT